TGCGCCCGTGGGACATCCATGGCTTCTTACCGCCTTTGCGGCTGGAGGAGGACCCGTTGCTCTCGCCGGTGTTGTCGCGGAGCTTTAGGCGTGCAAGCCATTCCTCCTCCGTGAGGAGTAGACGGCCCTCGCTGATGCCACCACCGAGGGTGGTGATGCTGTTGGCGAGCCCCGTGATCCGCATTGAAAAATCATCGACGGATTCGCCGTCCTTAAAGCGAATCTCCGAGAGCTCCTTCCGAAGTTGCTCGATGTTGGATTCCCGCACTCGCTGTACACCGACCCGACGGGATTTGATTCCCTCCCAGGCCGATTGTGCGGTGCGCTTGGTGGAAAGAGAAGCCAGCATCTCTGGGGGCACAGATCGTAATATGGCAGCGAACGCCAGCCGATCCTCCCGGTACTCGATTGTTTCTCCTTCCTCTGGCTCGACAGCGTGCCATAACCCTTGCGCCTGTAGGTTAACGCGCATCAACAAGGCCCACTCGTTGTAGTTGGACCTTGTCAACATCGGGTACTGAACGACGGCGGTCGTTGTCTCTCTGATCACTCGCTCAACAACTACTCGACGCCCCGTCATCACGATGTCGGCCACGGCCTCTTCGTGGTGGTGATGGAGATGCCGGCACTTGGCGGCGTGGAGGAGTGAGCGAGCCTGCTTGAGATGGGCCCCACGATGTATTTATTTTTGCGCTTTGCATTTTCTTCTACTCGAACCTAAGACCTGTGTGTTATTAGGTCGACGCTCTAACCACTTGAGCTATTCAACTTGATTGTTGATAGGTTGGCTCTTCTGTGATGGTATACTACCGATCGCAAAATTGGCCGAAGGTTTCTTCGAAGGAAAAATTAGCGGAAGTAAAAGGAGAGAGAGAGATTTGCTGGTAATGCTGAAGACTCGATATATTTATTTTACATCCGTTGAATGGTTTAAATAATAAATCTAATTACAAAAATAGAAAAACCAAATATACAAAAATAGAATGAGTGGACGAAGACTCCGCCACTCTGCCAAAACAATGGCCCCTAGAATCACGCTCCTCCATTCGCGTGAACTCATATGTTTTTACAAACCTAACTAAATAAGGCA